ACCCAAAAAAAAAAAAAAAAAAAAAAAAAAAAAATTTGACAATCCGAATTTTTGGGTTGGGTAAAAAAAAAATCCATCAACCCAACCCAAAACTTAAAAAGAAAATTTGACAACCCAACCCGAAAATAGAGGGTTGAGTTGGGTTGGGTTGTGAAAAGTTTCGGGTTGGGTTGGGTTACCAATCCAACCAATCCGAACTTTTGGGTTGGGTAAAAAAAAAATCACTCAACCCAACCCAACCCAACCCGGACCATGTACACCAGTATAAAACAATACCCTAATCTAACCTAAGGGTGACACATAACATGCATCTATCTTAACATTAGTCGCATGGCTATAATCGAGACGTCTTCTTTCGTGCATAAGTACCTTACCTTTACTTGGAAAATAAGAGTAATACATAGTTTCAATATTTTAAGAAATACTAAGTAACCCCACGGTTGAGGTCAAGAAACGAGAGCATATGGAGTCATATTTGGGACCTATCAATTCATAACATCATCAACTTCCAGTCCCAATAGAATTGGATGTGCAGTACTTTTCTACTAATGGTCCAAGCAAGCGCACATGGACTCCTAGATGAGCTCATATACGTACCCTTGGACTTGACCTTCCACTAGCTTACACTCACTCTCCCATGGTGTTTTGAACAAATCAACCCTCCAACACCCTATTTATTACGCAATCAATTTCCAATTCAATTTTTTCCGTTGAAATCTGGGGACAACCTCTCCACAGAAGTTAAGATGGGAAGGAGAAACAGAGGTACACGCCTCTCCGACTTGAATCAGTTCAGTGCTCGTTCAAGGCTTCTTCAATCTTCTCCATGTTTCGCTCCGTTTTTGTTCTTCTCCTTGCGTCTTTGATTTCTCTTGTTTTCCACCGATTCATAGGTAATTTCGTTTTCCGGTTCTAACTGGCTCAATTTCCTAGGGTTTTAATCGTATCGTGATGAATAAGCATCTTGTGGTGAAGCAGGTTTGAAGTCGGGAAATATGGTGATGGCGATTGAAGATGTGGATTCTATGGCTCTTTTACCGTTTGGATCTGCTTCTCGCATTGGCAGCTTCTTTCGACTTCCTCAATGTGGCGGCCCTCGCCGGACAGGTACTCTTTCTCATCACTTGTTTGTTTTTTCGTTCTTCTGAATGCATTTCTGTGGTTTACTAAATCGTTTATTTATTCAATTTTGAGCTTGTTGCTTCTGATTGGCATCCCACAACAATTGTTTTAGCTAGCATTCAATTGGATTCTGAAATTTGCCTGATATTTTGGGATTCATGTCGAATTTCTGTGTTTCAGTTTCTTAATCTTTTCTTTTTCTGTAACTAGGATAATGAGCTCCATTCTTTGTATTATGCTTATTGTTATGACCCACTCACCAATCTCGAGAGGCTTTCTTCAACTGTACACCCACTAAAATAAGATATTTAGTTGCTAAGATTCGATTCATAATCATTTGGGTTTTTTATTTTTAGTTTTTGAAGATTGTGTTTGTTCTATACATATTCATAGCCAAATCCCAAAAACAAAAACAATTTTAAAAAGCAACTTTTTTCAGTGTTCTGAAACTGTCTAGTATTTAAAACATTCATAAAAAGTAGATAACAAAATAAAGAAGTCCGTTGTAATTGCCCAAGCTCACCGCTAGCAAATATTGTCCTCTTTGGCTTTTCCTTTTAGTCTTACCCTCAAAGTTTTTAAAATAAGTCTGCTAGGGGAGGTTTCCATACTCTTATAAAGAATGTTTCGTTTTCCTCTCTAACTAATGTGGGATCTCACAATCCCCTCCCTCGGGGGCCAGCATTCTCGCAGCACTTGTTCCCTTCTCTTTTGTTTTGGGACCCCCAATCCACTCCCTTTGGGGCTCAGTGTCCTTGCTGGCACACTGCCTCGTGTCCACTCCCTTTGGGGCTCAGCCTCCTTGTTGACACATCGCCCAGTGTTTGGCTTTGATATCATTTGTAACAACCCAAGCCCACCGCTAGTAGATATTGCCCTCTTTGGGCTTTCTCTTTCAGGTTTCCCTCAAAGTTTTTAGAACGAGTCTCCTAGGGGAGGTTTTCACACTCTTATAAAGAATGTTTCGTCCTCCTCCCCAACCGACGTGAGATCTCCCAATAATAGTGTTTATATAAGCTTGATTTTCAACCTAGGAATTGAACAAAACCTTACCACCCTTAGAATCTTTTCTAAGATCAAAAGGGGAAGGAGACTCTACAATTTCAGATAATATCAAAAGGACTTGGTGAGTGCACATATCACATTTACATCCGCACCTACAAGATTATCCAACGAGTTGATTGTTTCAAACGTTCCTCATACTCAAAAACCATATTTTGCTTCTCTACCATTATTGTTGATCATGCTCTGATTTGCATTTGACTGCCTAAATATGTCTATGGTTTATGACCATGCATGATTCTTGTCAAATATGTTGCTGATAAAATGAGACAGGATTGTTATCAGTACTTCGAAAATGGATGGATCTATTCATCTCATTTGGGCTGGCTAAGCAATCTTTGTTTCCTGCCTCCAAATTGATCAATGTTACTATTGTTTGATCATTCATATGGTTGCAATCGTAGAATCCATTGGTGTTTGCTATACAAACTTAGGCAACAATTTACCAGATGCCAGAGAAGTAGTACAACTATACAAAATCCATGGCATTGAAAAAATGAGGATCTATAATCCGGACACAGCTATATTAAACGCTCTTCGGGGATCGAACATCGAAGTCATAGTAGGCATCCCGAATACCGACCTTGAACGCATTGTTAATCTTTCTTCTGCATCAAACTGGGTCCAGAGGAACATCCAAGCCTATGTGCCACACATCAAATTTCGATATGTTGCTGTTGGTAACGACGTGCAGCCATCTGATTCCATTGCTCGTTATGTTTTACCAGCCATAAGCAGCATCAATAGTGCAATTTCAGCAGCCAATTTGCAGGATCAAATAAAGGTTTCCACAGTAATATCCATCAGCTTGCTGTCGAACTCCTCGTTTCCTCCATCTTATAGCTCATTTAGTTCAGAGGCTAGTGGATTCATAGAACCAATTGTTCACTTTCTGGCTAAGAATGGCTCACCCCTTCTTGCTAATGTGTATCCCTACTTCACTTATACCGATATCACCCGAACCATCAGCCTCGACTATGCTTTGTTCATGCAATCGCCAACTCTTGTGATAAGGGATGACAATTTTGAGTACAACAGTCTTTTTGAATCGATGGTCGATGCTCTTTACGTAGCACTAGAGAAGTCGGGTGGAGCTGAAGTGTCAATCGTGATAGCGGAGAGCGGTTGGCCATCAAATGGAAGTGCAGCTGCCACGGTCGAGAATGCAGGTACATACTATAGAAATTTGATGAACTTTGTTCCGACCGGGACACCGAGGAGGCCGAGAAGAGCTATTGAAACCTATTTGTTTGCTATGTTCGATGAAAATTTGAAGCCTGTTGAAATGGAGAAACATTTTGGTTTATTCACAGCTGACAAGAAATCAAAATACCAACTTAGTTTTAGTTAAAGGGGTCAATTAGCAGGGCCACTTATGTTTTATATGTAACAATGTAGATCATATTATGAACTAGGTTGTTAATAGCAAAAGTTAATACTTGGTTTTGATGATGAACGATTTTAGAGTATATAGAATAAATTGAAAGTAATCGATTGATGCAAATGAAAATATATGTATCATGTCAGTTTAGAACGACATTCATTTTTTTGTGTTTTTTCGAACTTGAAATTTCCTGATTGTTTGATATATGCGATGTTATAAAGTATGCCATATAGTTTTAGATAACATCACATACATCAAACAATCATATAATCCCAATGACGTATGCCATATGTAATAATTGTCATGTTATGAGATTATGTTATTGATGTTGTATGATGCATAAACTTTCATATGGCATGTAATGTAAGATATGTAATGCATTCGCTCAATGTTTATAAAACGTTAGAAGCCATGCATGTTAATTGTGGAAGTTAAGACAAGCCATGAAGGGAGGTATGACTTGCATCATACATATATGACATGAATTGTAAAATACGAACTCATATATCTTATATGTCACTTGCATCGAATGCTTTCGTTATGATGAGTACGGACACATACAATACGATATCTATGCCATGATATTATGTGGACTCCTTTTCCTCCACGGTTTCAGCAGCATGAGCGTGTACCAACTGAAGTGTAGGTCTAGGAAATCGGGTCATTATAGAACCTTTATGGTTATTAAGTCATATAAACTCCTCCGTGGACCAGACCAGATGAGACTAGATGAGATGAGAGGGAAAATGAAAATACATTTTTGACCCACTCCTAAAGTTTAAAGAATAAAGGGCATTTTCGTCTTTTGACATGTCTTATTGCCCAATTTATCAATCATCCAGTCTTCGACGACTGTGACTGGCAAAGGAAGGGAGATTCCATAGAATTGAGTCCATGGAAGGGTGGGCGTAAAATGATGAAGAACAGAGAATCCACGCTTTGCTCCATTAACGTTCTCCTCCTTCTTGGAGCTCTGATTCCTCCAGGTAATTTCCTTCCATTCCTCTGTTTTCGATTCAAGAACCGATGAACAAATTGACTCAAATTCTGATATAGGGCTTTTAATCGTATCATAACGATTCTGAATCGCCATGGTCAAACAGGTTTCAAGTCCACAAATATAGCGATGGCGATTGAAGATGAAGATTCAATGGCTCTGTTACCATTTGGATCTGCGTCTCGCTTTGGCAGCTTCACCGCCGGTTGCAGAAGCCCAAGTATTTTTTTTTTCCTCTCTTTTCTTTTATGTTTTAAGACTATTTATGCCCTCACACCTCAAATTTAAAAAAATAAAAAAATAATTAATTAATTTTTTTAAAATTAGACAAAATTTAATTTTCAATTTTATACGATAAACTTTATTGGGGATTAAGAATCTAATAGACACAAACGTTCAAGTCCGTCCATGATTAAGTCTGCAATTTAACCTAATTTAGGTTAATCTTAAGGGCCAAATTTTTTTTTTTTGGCTTTCCCTCAAAGTTTTTAAAACGCGTAGGTTAATAAGAGGTTGTGATAGAGAGACGTTTCACACCTATATAAAGGGTGTTTCATTATCCTCCCTACCAATGTGGGATCTCAGAATCCACCTCCCTTCAGGGTTCTCAGGCTCATGTCCATCCTCTTCGGAGCTCAGCCACCTCGCTGGCACATCACCCTGTGTCTAACTCTGATATTATTTGTAATAGCCCAAGCCCACCACTAGCAAATATTGTCTTTTTTGGGTTTTTCCTTTTAGGGTTCCCCTCGAAGTTTCTAAGACGTGTCTCCTAGGGACAGGTTTCCATACACTTGTAAAATGTATTTCGTTCTCCTCCTCCTCCTCATCCTCAACCCATTGGGATCTCACTCCTTGACTAACCATCTTTTATAACCATTTTTTTGGTCGTTTGAAAATTAAGTTTGTTTCATTGTAATTCTATTATATAATTCTAACCCGTATTTCAAAAATAAATTCCGTTAAGTAAGAGTAACGTTTATAAACTTAATTTTTAAAATCAGAAAACAAAAAATAAGATGGCTAACAAACGAGACCTTCCAACTTAATTACCGAACCTACGACTCAAACGAGCGATATATTTAATATTGTTGTAGGTGTTGGAAATATGCACATTGGAGTTTGTTATGGGCAATTAGGAAACAATCTTCCCTCCACAAGAGAAGTTGTGGCTCTCTTCAACCAATACAACATTAGAAATATTAGACTCTACGATCCCAATAGAGCTTCACTCAACGCTCTTAGTGGCTCCAACATTGAGCTCATGCTTGGCCTCCCCAACTCTGACCTCCAAACAATCGCTTCCAGCCAAGAACAAGCCAATGCATGGGTTCATAACAACATCATAACCTTCCCTAACGTCAAATTCAAGTACATTGTTGTAGGCAATGAAGTCCAACCCTCGAGTCCCGACGTCGAGTTTGTCGTCCCGGCCATGAAGAACATCTATACCGCACTTTCTACTAACGCCTTGGTTGATCAGATCAAAGTTTCCACCGCCGTTGACACTGGCATCCTTGGTACTTCCTTCCCTCCTTCTAGTGGCTCCTTCACAAAAAATGCTCGATTACTACTCGACCCCATCATTCGTTTTCTCAATGACAATCGCTCGCCGCTACTTGTCAACTTGTACCCTTACTTCAGCTACGCTGCCAACTCGAGAAACATTCGATTGGACTATGCTCTTTTCACAGCGCCATCGACGGTGGTCACCGATGGCCAGTTTAGTTATCATAATTTGTTTGATGCAATTGTTGATGCTATTTATGCTGCATTGGAGAAGGCGGATGGGAAAAATTTGGAGATCGTGATAGCGGAGAGTGGGTGGCCGACGATGGGGGGTACAGCAGCGTCGGTCGACAATGCAAGGTCTTACATCAACAATTTGATTCGACATGTCAAGGGAGGGACTCCTAGGCGTCCGAAAAAATCGATTGAGACTTATATTTTTGCCATGTTCGATGAGAACCAAAGGAATAATTCCGAGATGGAGAAGCATTTTGGTCTCTTCTCTCCAAACATGCAACCTAAATATCCTGTCAACTTCAATTGAGAGTAAGGTATTGATATTGATATAAGTAGAAATTTGATATTGTGTTTTATTTATTTGAATAAGAATCACACGTAAAGCTTAGAATCTTGGGTTCTTACTGTCGGGTTTTGTTGCTATTGATTGACATAGTTCGTAGTTCTATGTTGGAATGAAGTGTAATAGCTCAAGCCCACCACTAGTAAATATTGTTCGATTTGGTCTGTTGTGTATGGTCATCAGCCTTACGGTCTTAAAACACGTCTACTAGGGAGAGGTTTTCACATATTTATAAAGAATGTTTCGTTCCCCTCTCGAACCAACATGGGATCTCATAATCCACCCCTTCGGGAACTCAATGTCCTCATTGTGTCTGACTCTGATACCCTTTGTAATAGTCCAAACCCACTACTAGCAGATATTATCTGTTTAGACCCGTTGCATAGCATCATCAACCTCATGATTTTAAAACACGTCTACTAGAAAGAGGTTTCCACACCCTTATAAAAAATGTCACACGAAGGTTCTCTATCATTCTTATGGAGGATTTTGCACACCCTTTTAAAAAAATCGTAAGACTGATAATGATACATAACAAGCTTAACTGACAATATCTACTAGCGATAAGCTTGAACTATTACATTAAAACATGAACTCGTTTTTGGCACAGGTGGGTGGGTGGTGCAGAGACAAGAAGCAGTCAGTATCATCTTGGTTGAATTTTGAGGCCACACAAGAGTCAACATGCCTCCAACACCGCAGAAGAGATATCATTTCTATACCATCTCATCATGCCTTCATCAATCTTCTCCAACTTTTGCTCTCTTTCTCTACTCCTTCTTATAAGTTCTGGTGAAACAGGATTGAAGTCGAGTAATATGGCGATGGCGATGGTGATTCAAGATGAGGATTACACGGCTCTTTTACCGTTTGGACTTACGTCGGGTATCATCGGCAGCTTCATTCCTGAATGTCGTGTCTCTCTTCCTAATGGTACTCTTTCTCATCACTTGTTTCACTTTTATATCTTCGAGTTTTGAGCTTGATGCTTCTGAATATAGTGTTCGAGGAATCGATTTAGAAACAAAGTTAAAATAGATCTGATTGGGATAATGGGTTGGGTTAAGTTGAGTTGGGAACGTAACTCTTGGTTAAACGGCTAACATATGAAGTTTTGGTTAAAAACTTAACGTCACCGACTCAATTTACTTATTAACTCATTCAATTTCTCTCCCGTTGCTTCAATTCTTCCGACTCAATTTAGGATTTGTTGAGTTCAAATAAATGAAAATTTTATAAATGACCCGAACAACCAAAACTAACCCAACCCAAAAGATTTATGGTTGAGTTGGTTTGGGTTCATGAGTTATGTGATATTTTGGTTGAAAATTTTACCGTCCAAAGAACTAGTTGGGTCTAAAAGAATATCTTAACTCGACCCAACTCAATCTACAGACACTCCTATTGTTTGTTTCATTATTTACTCCCACCCACGTGCCGTCCTTCCTCTTTAAAGAACTCAGTACCCCAAACACAGATTTATTAACTCCACGAAACATCAAACTTCATAACTCAATCGAGCGCCTTACCCGGCTCCTTAGATGTCTATTTTAGACCCCAAAAAAAAGGTTTCCTCAAGCTCTCCCTCACCCCTTCTCTCTAGTTGAAGACAACTCACCTGCTGCCTACATCAATGCCCACAACGCTGCTCGTGCCCAAGTTGGTGTTGATCCTATCAAATGGGATGAGAAGCTGGCAAATTATTCACAACAATATGTCAATGAACGCATCAACGACTGCAAATTGGTGCACTCGGGTGGGGCTTATGGGGAGAATCTTGCATGGGGAATGCCCGACTTGACAGCCACCAACGCAGTCAAGCTATGGGTGGATGAAAAGCAATTCTATGACTATGCCACCAATTCATGTGATTCTGGCAAGGTGTGCGGCCATTATACACAAGTGGTATGGCGAAACTCGATAAGAATTGGATGTGCAAGAGTAGAGTGCAACAATGCCCGCGGTGTACTCATTACGTGTAACTATGACCCGTATGGCAATGTTGTTGGTCAAAGACCATATTGAATGATATTATCAGAAAAATGAAACGTTAGTCTTGGTTGAGAAATAATGTAACTATTTTTAATTGAGTTGATCAAAAAATTAAAAAACAATCTAGAACTACCATCATAAACAACCGTCATCAATGTATAATGACAATGAAAGCTCAAATTGTCTACGAGAAGTAGGTAACGTGACCATGTCATAAGGGATGCAGGAAAATATGGACACAATATTAGGTGTCGAATCCAGGACATGGGTTGTTACAAATAAACATACAAATTACTTTAGTAATGTCAAGTGAAATGATATTAACTTTTGATAGGTTTTATGTGCTTGTAAGTGTAGAGTGCTCGAGGGAGCTAACATGTTGTCTCATATTCTCTCACTTCATTTTAGCATCCCACTTGAATAATACACTTCTTGACGGCTCAAGGCCATTATTTGTTCTTATCTTGTCTTAAAATATTCAAGTCACGTGTTGTTCTTCTAGGTCAATATATTTGGTCAAAACGAGCATCGAAACCGATTTCTTGAAGACCAAACTGACCCACCTAACAAAAACACCACCAATCTGAATCAAACCAACCGAAACCAACAAAATGTCCCAAATCAAACCAACCACAGTTTTAGTTACTAAGAAAACCGAACATGTATCGACAATGATAGTTCAAACAAATCGAACCAAAAAAACGTTACATCTTAGAGCTCATGTGACAATTCACAACATCATGCAATCGAACCGAACTAAATTGGAAGTGGGGGTTAAAGTATCACCCAAAAAGAGATATGAATTCAAATTCAAATCATGATATAATGAGAAGTACATAAATGAGTTCATATACATACGTACGTGTATATAATAAAGTCATCAAACTCTGACACTCACAACTGAGTCATGAAAGACTCCAAATTTTTCAAAAGCATCTTGGAAAAGCACCAAAAATAAACTTGCAATAAATGGAGAATTATAACAAAACAAAATGCATAGTCATCTTGGCATCCAAAACGAGATGCCCCATGTGCTTCCCAATATGTGTTTCTCTCTCTATATGGTGTCTTCTTTGCCCTCAAACCGAAGTAATGTAACAGTCCAAACTCATCCTAACAAATATTGTTTGTTTTAGCCCATTATCTATTGCCATCAACCTCACGATTTTAAAATTAGGCAGTGCTAGCAATGAGTTTGGGTTGTTACAGATGATATCATAGTCAAATACCAAGCCCGAAAGAAGGGTAGATTGTGAGATCCCACATTGGACTTGAACTCAGACAATATAACAACTCAAATCCACAGTTAGTAGATATTGTCTCATTTGGCCCATTAAGTATTGTCGTCAGCTTCACGATTTTAAAACGCATTTGTTAGGGAGAGATTTCCACACCCTATAAAAAATGTTAGTGGTGGACTTGAACTGTTCTAAATGGTACTAGAGCCAGACACACTGGGTATAGAAAGGAAGTGAATTGTGAGACCCCACATCAGTTGGAGAGTGGAACAAAACATTCTTTATGAAAGTGTACAAATCTCTTCCTAGTAGACGCGTTTAAAAAACCCTGAGAAAAAGTCCAAAAAGAAAAGCCTAAAGAGGACAATATCTACTTACAGTGGGCATGGGCGAGGTTGATAGAGACAAACCGAAGCAATGTAACAATCCAAACTCACCGCTGACAAATATTGTCCATTTTGGTCCATTATGTATCGCCGTCAACCTCACGATTTTAAAACCAAGCAGTGCTAGCAATGAGTTTGGGTTGTTAGAGACAAAGTCGTTCTAAAATTCTCATTCAAACCCCAAAAATGACCATTCACTGATACAAATCAGATTCCTCCACTTAAGAGTTTCACTCATAAAAAGGTTAAGAAAAGTAAATAGTAAATGGAGAGAGTGGGTATCTCTTAAAAGTCATCAAAAGGGCCCAATAAAAGAGAGAACAGCTCAGATGAGTTCACATGTGTGCACCATATTCAACCACAACCACTTCTGATATGGAAGCCAGAACAACAAAGCAGCTCAAAAAACTGTAAGAAAAAAAAGAAAAAAGCTACCAAACCAAATAATTTAAATTGATGGCAGTACAAAAGTTGGCGCCTCCCCCCTCACTCCCTCCAATGCACACAAAACAATGCCCATCACAAACAAGAACAACAACAACAACATATGTAATATAATAATAATGTAGAGAGAAAAGGGAAGGGAGTGTTGGATTGATACCATTTATACCATGTCAGTGCCCCCATGTGATACCCCTTCCTTGGTCCTTCCACCATGTGTGGGCCTAAACACAAACAGTGTGAGACAAAACAGTCCTCTAAAGCTATAAACTTTCACAAACCAAATCAAAATCCATTTTTGTCCTTGTTTTGTCAATTAGCAAAGGAAAAAGAAAAGAATAGTATCATCAAATTATTATGTTCTTGAGGAGAAAAGGAAAAGGAAAAGGTGAAACCAACTCCTACTTTGTTTGGTCCCAATCAGTTCTGTGATCATTTCATCAGTTAGCTACACTACACTACACTACACTACTGGCTGCTATGTACAAATGTGGCTCTTGTGAGCTTCACAGAAACTTCAAATTCTACCTAACTATGAACGCGAAGAACGAACATAAGAACTTATGTGTAGACAAACGATGTAAAAGGGAGTTAACCCGACCGGAGTTCTTTAGTCAGCATGGTCCAGCACACACCCAAATAAGGCACAAAATAAACACAGAAGAAACCTAACTCTCATGAACCAAATCATCTGTCCTAAATGTATGAATTTATACGTATTTGCTGTTAGGAGTGTGTATTGATGAAGATGATACTTGTGGAGATCGTCTCTATGGTCGTAATAGTAGATCTACTCCTCAAAGTAGGTATACTTTCTCTATACATCTCGGGATAATTCTTCTGCCTGCTATATGCTTCTCTAATTTTTCTGCATATATGAAACACGAGCGATATTAGCAGTTTCATTCGCTCGAAAAATAGCAAAAGGTTGATGAGTAAGAGATGAGTGATCTTACCCTAACATTGTTGATATCTGCTGGCCATGCTCATGTAGTTATTGCCTATATTTCAAAAGATTCACACAAGGAATAGAAACCTAAGGAAAGTAATGTATCTTACTTTGAATTACAGACTTCATAAATTAGCATGACGGGAAAGTGAACAACCACAAGAGGACGACAGGTTGCCATTCGACCGTGGAGTAAAAACGTTATTAAGGTGAAGTTATGTCACCAGCAGGACCAGAAGGCAGTGACGAATTGCTCTGGGACGATGACGGTAAGGTATTGGGACCGCATCCATCCGCTTTAAGAGACGAAAAATCAGAATGTTGACCCAAGGTAGATTTTTTAGGAGAAGCGAATGGACTATCAGGAAGGACCTGCTCAACACTGACCTCGTGCACGAAGTAAATTAAATAGAAGAAAATGGTTAATACGTCGTACCATTGAAATAATTCGACCATCATCAGGATGTTCTAATCAGAAGCTAAATTTTAGACCTTTTGTGAGTTTCGAGCAGTTCAGAGTTGTAGCCATCTTCGGTTGCTTTGCCCCGGCTGTTGCTTTGGATAAAACAAGAACTCTCGTCCAGTTGAAAGGTTTGCGGCGTGCTTATTGCGTTGTTGGTAGCTACTTGGTTATTCTCATGACCTGAAACAGCTTTCACCATTAGCTAACAGAATAAGTCGTCTGGTAATCGAAACGAGAGAAGTTCGAGGAAGAATCAGCGAACCTTCAGCAGCTTCTTGATTTATAAAATCAGGAGGATAAATATTCTGATTCATTTGATTATGAGATTCAGTGGACAATGGAGAACAAATAGATAAATTATGTGGGTGATGGTGGTGTAGCTGATCGTTCTTCAAGTCGGGAAGTTGGAGATTCAGTAGTCGTCTTCCCTGAAGTTCGAGTGCTTGCTGCAATTCAACTTGCTCTTCTAGTTTCCTACGCAACATCATCCCTTGCGTATTATACATCATTCGTGCTCCTGTCAATTGAACGGAACGGGAAAAATGAGAGGCATATTCATTCGATTCCCCAGCTTTTCAAGAACCAAATGGCTGTAAGATTTGGGGCATGAGTATGCCTACTTATTTCATACCGAGATTTAGGTCATACGGATCCCGGGTGTCCAGTCCAGAGGGGCTCAAACAAGGAGTAAAGTCACCCCTGTCGAGCTGCTGTTGTTGATGCTGCTGCCTCCTACATTACATCCGTATTATAAATGTCAATTCTATAAAGGTAGAGAGGGAACAGTACCGAACGCAAACGAGTTTATGATAAACGTACTTTTCTGGAACTTTTCCCTTCTCCTTGTACGGTTTCACGAGCACTCGTGATTCGCATATGAAATGTGGATTTCCCTTTGCTAATATTTGTTTAACGGTTTCTGGATAGACAAATGTAACAAACCCGAACATCCTCTTCTGTTGGTATGGAATCCTTACATCTTGCACGGGCCCAAATTTGCTGCAAACGGATACGAGTTCATCAAGATTAGAATCAACGAAAAATGGTCAAGCAATAAAAGAACTTCATGACAAATACTGAGAAATTGATAAAAACCAATACGGCGTTTATCACGACTAATGAGAACCGTTCCAGCGCATCTAAAGTGACAGCAAAAGCAGATTCTTTGTCTCAGAAACATGCTCTTAAGCATATCACTGAGTAAAACAATGTAGGTGCATAAACAAGCATATGCATATGTAGTGCATTTTATCGATATCAACGAGCGTTGGTGTTGCATAGTGTTCATGCTTCTTCAAAATATACTCGAGTATTTAGCTTTTCTTTTCTTTGCTTTCTCTTTTGTTAGGAAACAACACAATAGAGACACTGAAAGCACGATATAAAGTAACTGGAAAAGGGAAGCAAGTAAAATCGTTGAGGTAAAAGTATAGGCAAAGAAACGTTCACGGGAAGATAGAAAGATATTAAAACATCTTCCAAGAACAAATGCAACAAGATGGATAAACACACAACATCGCCTATATACAAAACTACATCCAATTGAATGTCGTTGA